CACCAGCCAGCCAGCCACGCTGAAGGCAAAGCTGCTGTTGTGCACAGAGAGGAATATTACTGTCGCACTGTTTACTTTTGGGATAAAATTTAAAGGAGAACTCCAGGGTGAAAAAATGTATTAACCCTCACAGTACAGCTACCCCAGGGTACTGCAAGGGTAAAGGTCTAGGCTCAAGAAAATAAAAGTTATACTCACCCGATGCTCTGAGCCGGTACACAGTGCACAGACATGAGGATGCTGAGGAAGACTCCAATGCTGCAGCAGAGGGAACCAGTATCATTTCCCTTTTAGGAGCAATGCCGCTTTGAGACTGTATGTTGCTACAGAGACTTGATCGGCTCAGCTCTCGGCAGTACTGAGGTGTTTGTGGGAGTTGCAGTTTCAACACAGGAAGAGACAGAGGATGTTATGCTGCAATGAACTACCAGACCCAGGAGGTGGGATCTCTATAATCTACGCGGCACAGCTGGGTTCATTTACTAAAGTGTCCTATATGGATGCTTGGGAAGCTCTCTCTATAGATGAATGGAAACAGTGTACCACGAGATTAACTACGGGGTTGCTTAATGTTTCCCTATTAGAAGCCAACTACAAAGTCTTCTCTAGATGGTACCTGTTTCCAGCAAAGATAGCCACCATGTTCCCAGGATCCAGTCCTTCATGTTTTAGGGGATGCAATCAGCAGGGCACAATGATCCATGTTTGGTGGCATTGCCCCAAATTGCGTCCCTTTTGGAACCGCTTCTTTGTGTTGCTTTTAAGGATCTTCCAGGTGCATGTTCCAAGAGACCCCCAGCATCTGCTATTGAATAAACCAGTTATGGGTATCTCAAAGGCGCAGGGCAAACTTTTACTTTTCTTTTTCCTAGCAGCCAAGACATCAATAGCTCACTCCTGGAAAGCCGAAAGGGTCCCATTCTCAATGGTGCTATCTAAGTTAAATTGGATCATGACACATGAGACATTACATGGCATTTTACAGGATAGATACTCAAACTTCCAAGCGGTATGGGACCCACGGCTGTCATATCTAGGAATTTCGAACTCCCCCCGCACTTCGTCAGACAACCCAGGTTGAATACTGACTAAGAAATCCAGAGCCCAGGAGTCCCTATCCCTCTATTCTGTTTCTTTCTTCCCCCCTTTTTCTCCTTTGCTATCCTTCTTTCTATAAACTCATGTTTCCGTTTTGGACCCTTGGTGCGCGATTTGAACGCGCCCACCAAGGGATTGTATCATATGTAACCTCAGTATTTAATAATGGTATCCCGAATGATAAAATGGAAACTATCGCTACATTACCCCATTGTTAGCTTGAATGATGTGTTAAGACGGGGAGAGGGGATATAGTGTTGTGATCATAGGCCTATCTGATATGTTACTGAGCTACATATGACATGTGAATGCAACAAACTGTCTATGTATAAGATGGAAACCAATAAAAACTTTGAAATACAGACCCAGGAGGCTTTGTGATCTGGAGGAAAAGGGGACTGGAGCCTCTCTCAGAACACCGGCAGATCGGTAAGGGATGCACCAGTGGCTGGATATTTTGTGATGTGTTGCCTGCTAGTCATCTCAGGAGCGAGATAAAACCTGAGGTGTTGCCGTGATCACTGTCTGCTGAACAGTATCTGTGATTCCAGTGTCTTTGACTGTCTGCTCTCCTACTGAAAGATTCTTCTACAGTGAGGGAAGCGCTCCATGAGACCCTGCCAGCCCTTTCCTGAGTGATTGGAATCTACAAAGGCCTGCTACAGGCATCGCTACTGCTACTGTGTGGCACAAGGTGCTGCTGCTGGAACCTGAAAGTTGTTGGCTGCAGAGGAGAAGCCACCTCTTTTCACCTACCAATGCTGGGAACTACAATCTAAGCTACAGGAGTGGTGAGAGGCCATTGGCAACAGTGATATTCTGTCTAAACCATCTGTACAAGCAGGACTTGGGCCCCACCGACGGCTAGCCTAGTTAAATACCACTGGCCAGTAGGTTTAAGACCCGGGTCTGTTTGGACTGAGACTTTGCCTTCAAAGTTTACTGTTTCATATAGAATTACATTAGTAAGTTCAGTGTTGTTTGCATGTGCAGATAAATAGCAATAGCTAAGATGTATATTTAAAGTGCTTCCATTACCTGCTGTTTATTTGCCATTGTTTTGCCTGTTCATTCATTTATTGGGTAGTATATTATTTGTTTAGTAAAACTTTTACAAAACCTCATAAGGTGTGCTGGTGTGCTGTGGATCCACTGCGTGAGGTCTATCACCCAGGTGAGACAGAAGTACCCGTATATTCCAGAGGCTTCATCGGGGGTGAGCGCTACATATAATTTTGTTGTTTTTGAACCTAGACAGAAACATGCAGTTAACCCTTCCACACCCCTGGTAATGGTCTGCATTACAGGGGGTGTGGCAAAGGGTATATCTATTTCCTATATATAACTGGGGGGGTGTCCATTGCCTATATATACCTATGGGTGTGCCAGGGGGTAGGTCCAATGCCTATAAATAACTGGGGACATGGCAGGGGGTGACTTCATTACCTATATATCACTGGGGGTGTGTCCATTGTCTATATATAACTGGGGACATGGCAGGGGTGTGTGTTCATTGCCTATTACCTCTTTCCTCCTGCCTCACCAGCAGGAGGAAGGAGGTCCTGATTCCTCTATATAGATCTTTATTATATCTAGAGGGATCTCCAGCAGGAGGAAGGAGGTCCTGATTCCTCTATATAGATCTTTATTATATCTAGAGGGATCTCCAGCAGGAGGGAGGGGGTCCTGATTCCTCTATATAGATCTTTATTATCACTAGAGGGATCACCAGCAGGAGGAAGAAGGTCCTGAATCCCCTATATAGATCTTTATTATCACTAGAGGGATCTCCAGCAGGAGGAAGGAGATCCTGATTCCTCTATATAGATCTTTATTATCACTAGAGGGATCCCCAGCAGGAGGAAGAAGGTCCTGATTCCTCTATATAGATCTTTATTATCTCTAGAGGGATCTCCAGCAGGAGGAAGGAGATCCTGATTCCTCTGTATAGATCTTTATTATCACTAGAGGGATCCCCAGCAGGAGGAAGGAGATCCTGATTCCTCTATATAGATCTTTATTATCACTAGAGGGGTCCCCAGCAGGAGGAAGGAGGTCCTGATTCCTCTATATAGACATTTATTATCACTAGAGGGATCTCCAGCAGGAGGAAGGAGGTCCTGATTCCTCTATATAGATCTTTATTATCACTAGAGGGGTCCCCAGCCGGAGGAAGGAGATTCCTCTATGTAGACATTTAGCTCAGACCTTTTTAGAATCCTGCAGGAACTTCATATCTACAGTCTTTAGGGAGACAGGAAATGACTAAACCCATAGGACTGTCTTCAGGACAGAAATGTTAGGTCAGACTTGTTGGATCATTTTGGGCTTTCTCTACTGTTTAAGCAACATTGATGTGAAATATATTCAGCAGACATCAGAAGTACATTAAACCTTTATTGGTGATCTATACAAACCTGTCAGTCTGAGGACATTTTATTTGAAGTACATTTTTTTCTTTGTAATGGATCTCTAGTGACAGGTCCACTTTACACTGCTCCAGTCATGAAAGAAAAATTATTTCTCTACATAGATCTTTACTTATCACTAGAGGGATCCCCAACAGAAGGAAAGAAGTCCTGATTCCTCTATATAGATTTTACTTTAAACTGCACCAGTCATGAAAGAATTACAGTGACTGCAGTTGCTGGCACCCTTCGGAAAATGCTAGATGCCTGGCTGTGTCTGGCTTTTGTGTCAAGTGCACTGTATGATAAACAAGCATAATGAAGCCAGAGAAAAGAAACTATAGAGGTGGGAAATGGCAGCCTCCATAATTCTATTGTGACTGGTCCACTTTACAGGGAAAAATTCTGGACCATACTGGGCCCCTTGTACAGACGAGTCGCCACCGGTCAGCATCTCCCTCTGCAGCCTGGGAGAGCGGCTGACACTGACCCTGGAGATCACTCACTCTTCTGATACATTATACATAAGGACGTCCATTACTCAGCCACCTTCTTCATCAAAGCTGAGAAGATGGTCAGCAGTGGCCTCTTACAGATGACATGCTCTTTGTTAAGCCTTTTAAATGGTCCAGGGAGGGATATTTATTAGTGCAATGCTCTGTGCTGGCAGAGCTGAGTAATAGCCACGCCCCTCTTCACAAGTGAAGACAAGAGATAGAGAGGGGGCATGTCTGACCAGTTCTGTTACTGAGTGCTGAGTACTGAGAGCACTCAGTCCAACTTTAGTGCCTACTAGAGGGAACGGTCATATTTAGAGAACCTACACAATTGTTGAATCAGGAAAGTAGTTAAACTATAAATATGGAGGTTGCACTATTTTAACTTAAAGTGGATCTCAGACTTGAAGGAGAACTATGGGGTAAGGCTTTTCCCCATAGTTCTCCTTAGGGTAACGGGAGGATACAAACTAGCGTCCTCCCGTCACCCTAGGCTCAGTATACCGCGAGCTGTAGCTCGCGGTATACTGAGACACTGCAGTATACCGCGAGCTGCTGCTTGCGGTATACTGAGACGCCGCAGCTGAAGCGGATCCCGACAATTATGCCAGGATTCGCCCAGCTGCGTGACTGACAGCTGGCTCTGCCTATCTAGAGGCAGAGCCAGCTGTACCCGCCCCCTCCCCCGTCCGTTCCGCCAGTCAGCGCTGGCGGATCGGAGCGGGGAGGGGGGAATCCAGCCCCTCCCCTGTCACGGCAGAGAGCCGTGACAGGATCGAGAAGTGACCAAACACGGTATGTGTTCGCTCACCTCCCGATCTACTGAGCCGACCTGTGACAGTCTCATTGTCACAGGTCGGCTAGAACTATGAGGTGAGTGAAAAGCACTCACCTCATAGTTCTCCTTTAAAGTGGATCTCAGAAAACCAATTTGAAACTTTTCATGGGTCAAAAAAGTTTCTTTGTTCCTTCATCCATCCATTCCAAAGATCAGTTTAATATCAGTAACATATCAAATTAAAAATACGAGAACAGATATAAATAAAGTCCATTATGCAGATCCTTCTGTTCCAGAGCCGCCATGTTCTGTGCTTCGTCGTCATGCCTGCTCGCCATCGGTCACTGGTGCTCTTACGGGTAACAGTTTGTGATCCTCGCCCACTGTTATCACCTCCGTCTCAGATGGAGGGGGACACAGTTGGTTGAATGGGTACACGGTGGGGAAGAAGCGCGCCACAACTGGAGGAAGGCTGTAAGCGTTGGCCAGCTGCTCTTCCTGACCCCTGAGTGTGTTTTCACCAAAGGTAGGAGGCCAGAGCGAGATGCTTTCATGTAGACCCCGTTCCTTCAGAGTTCCTGTAAGCAGAAAAGTTTTTAAAAAAAGATTCATACGAGGTGCAGTGTCCCTGCTGAGGCTGCTCTCAACAAACACAGGGTGACCCTTTATCTACCCCGGTCCCTGTAGCCTGATCTCCCCTGGGCTCTGGGGGTCTAAGGACCGCTGACGTCTTCACATCTTATGCAGGATCATTGACCTGCATTAGAGGTGAGGATGCCAAATGCCATTCGAACATCCGTAGAAGAGGGGGAGACGAAATGAGCATGGACCGCCAAGGGAGTGGGGATTAGGTAAGTAAAACAGCTAAGTCCTCTACAGAAGCATACGCCACTGGTTGCTAGGAGCTTGGTAGATGCCTCGGGGCAAAAAAAAAAGTCAGCCGTCTCCATGGGTCAGCAAACTTTCGCTGACCCACGGATCGGCATCCCCCTATCAAGTGGCGCTAAGAGCATGTGCCATATGTGCCATGCCCTGGATACACCACTGGTCCTTTAGGTAACAGGTAAGTCCCCTAAGAAAAGGAGCACTTAACCCTTATGCTTGTTTAAACACTAACACACATACCGTATTCCAACCACTCAGTCTCTTTTTCTTTTCACTTTTCATAATAAAAATCACTCTAAAAGGCAGTGGCCACCTCAGTCCCCCAGGATTGAGATACATTCACTACTCCTGGCACTGCCCATACTGGAGTACTACCTAATTTCCTACCCCTAGCACTGCCCATACTGGGGTACTATACATTCACTACCCCTGGCACTGCCCATACTGGGGTACTATACATTCACTACCCCTGGCACTGCCCATACTGGGGTACTATACATTCACTACCCCTGGCACTGCCCATACTGGGGTACTATACATTCACTACCCCTGGCACTGCCCATACTGGTGTACTATACATTCACTACCCCTGGCACTGCCCATACTGGAGTACTACTTCATTTCCTACCCCTAGCACTGCCCATACTAGGGTACTATACATTCACTACCCCTGGCAATGCCCATACTGGAGTACTACTTAATTTCCTACCCCTAGCGCCGCCCATGCAGGGGTACTATACATTCACTACCCCTGGCACTGCCCATACTGGGGTACCATACATTCACTACCCCTGGCACTGCCCATACTGGGGTACTATACATTCACTACCCCTGGCACTGCCCATACTGGGGTACTATACATTCACTACCCCTAGCACTGCCCATACTGGGGTACTATGCATTCACTACCCCTAGCACTGCCCATACTGGGGTACTATGCATTCACTACCCCTAGCACTGCCCATACTGGGGTACTATACATTCACTACCCCTGGCAATGCCCACACTGGGGTACTATACATTCACCTTGCAGTACAGGGGTAGCCCCACTGCAAGGGGAAGTTTTTCTTTGCCCGGAGATGGGCTTTAAACCCTAGTTTGGGTCTGAATGGAAGAGTTGGTGACATTAGATCGCAGAGTCATTGAACCTGGAGCTGACTGGAGTGGCTTGATGTCTGTAAGGGGTTTAAAACAATTTGGAGCGGTATAAACATCGAGGATCTGATTGAGGAACTGATTTACATCAGTTTGAAAAGAAATTCCTGTGCTAATGTGGATTTCCTCCCGTTGCCACAGTTTACTTCTGCATACTGATGCAATTTACAAACTATACAAACAAATCATGTTTTTAAATCATTACCTTTGATAACATTAAAGGGTCAGTGAACCCAAAATCTATTTGTTTCACTATGTTTGACATCAGGTGTCACTAAATATATAGTTACATAGTATCTGAGTGCTGAATGAAGACACAGGTCCATCAGGTTCAACCTTACAGTTCTCTTAAAGTGCAACTGGAGCCAAAACCTTTTTTTTTTACTTTTTAATAGAGTGTAGAGGGATTAGAGCCCCCGTCAGGTTTTATTGCTGTCTGTGTCCCCGTTATGGGGAGTCACCCTCTTAATCTCTCCTAGTGACCATTATCACTGAATCCCAGATGATAGATTGTCATCAGAACAGGAATAGATGGGAAATATTCCAATGGGACAACTAGTTCTGGTGACCACCAGGGATTTGCCTCTCTTTAAAGGGATTTCCTTTCACTTCCTGTTGTGGCTAGGAAGGAAAAGTGAAATCTCCTGTTGTGGACAGGAAGTGAAAGTGAAATCTCCCCCAATTGGACAAGCTGCCAGGGGTTATAACACTCCATTACTTTAACCAAAAATGTAAAAAAAATAACATTTAGGCTACTTTAAGCATTTCTTTTGGGGTAAATTAGTTGTTAAGTTTCTCATCTGGAGATTGGGCAAGCAACAGCACTTCCTGACAACGCTAAGCCACTGCCTTGCAATTAGCAGGGCTGTCAGTGTGCTGTACACTCCATCTGACCAACTGAACATCTAATTGTAAAGCAGTGGCTTAGTGTTGTCACTGTTGCTGGCCGGATCTCTGAGAAACTGATTTACAAAAAAATTATTTGATGAAGAAAACTGTATACAGAGAGACATGATGCCAGGAATAATTAAAATTAGGGATGCACCGATACCAGTATCGGTATCAGTGCCAGTACCGAGTATTTGGGCTAGTACTCTTACTCACCCAAATGCTCTGATACTTGCCACCGATACCGAACTTCTGGTCAGAGGGAGATTTCCTCTGACCAGCAGTGCCTTGATGGAGCATGGAGCCGGCTTTCTGATTGGCTGGGAAGCCGACTCCATGCTGTTTGGCCAGCTCAATGCTAATTGGCTGGAAGCCGGCTTCCCGCCAATCAGCATGGAGCCGGCCAAACAGCATGGAGTCGGCTTCCTGGGCAATCAAGAAGCCGGGCAGCGTGTCATTACCCGCCCGGCTTCTTAATTGCCCGGGAAGCCGACTCCATGCTACCGGAAGTACCGGTATCAGAACTCGGCTTCAGCGAGTACCAAAATATAAATATCAGTACTCATACTAGGTACAAAAAAAACGGTATTGGTGCATCCCTAATTACAATAGATTTTGGGGTTACATACACTATAACATCAAACCTATCTGTTTTACCTGTGTATGGAAAATAATTGAAACGACTCTACATTTTCATTAATGTCGAAACACAAGGAGGGGAATTTGTCAAAACTGGAGCATGGCAACCAATCAGCTTCTCTCTTTCAGGTTCAAAGCTTAACTGAACAAACTAAAGAGAGAAGCTGATTGGTTATTATGGGAAACTGCTCCAGATTCTGTAGAGAAAGCAGCAGCATGTCCACTGCAGGCCAGCCTGGATGAAGATACAGTGAGAGGCAGATGATTCTTAATTACTAATGGAAGAATATTAATTCACAATAAAATTATACCCACCACATGTTATCAATATGTCATATACCTCTGCCTCTTCTTTCCTTTCATTTGCTTGCCTATCACTCATTCTCTGCCTTTGGTCAGGCTAATGTTCCTGCTACATTAAAATAAACACTGAAGCCCATTCTGTGTAAATTAAAAACGAATTACCTTCTGAGTTTTAATCTTCCAAACAGCAGCCTGATAAGAAAAGCCTGTATCCGGCCAGCATGCTGCATAGAAGGACCCTTGCTCTCCTACTGGAAGCAGTGGTCTCTCTGCAGAGGTCCGACACCCTCCCCCCCCCCCCCCCCCCACTCCGGCAACGTCACAT